GTTTCCCACAAGAACAAACTGTATCTTCCTCTCAGCTCCTCCAGGCTAAAGATAGAGGACAAAAAGCAACAAAACCAAAAAACCTGATGATGTCCTGCTCTCCACAGCACAAAGTGGGAGGAATTGGAATCCCCTAAAATTCAGCCCCTGTCTCAGCCTGGTGTACTTTTCCTCACATGCTCAGGGGGAGCAGCTCCCACAAGCTCCTACCTTTGCAGAAAGCAGCAGCAGCTGATAGACCAGGGGGGGTATTTCCTGCAGGTCTAATTTGGAGAACATCCTAAGGACCTTTTCCACCACAAACTGCAGCTCCTCTCCTGAGAGTGGAATGTCCCTGTTGAATCAAAGATGCAGTCTAGTCGTTTTTATTCATTTCTTTCAGAATCCTGCAGCAGATTCAATCCATGAGAGCTCCCAAAGTCCTCGTCAGAACATACTCTTAATTTGTCAAGGCTCACAAATGAAAAACCACACATGGAAAAATCACAACCCCACTCAAAAGGCATCTACAAGCAAGCAGCAAAACTCATACAACCATACACCCACACAGCCACTGGTTGGTCTGTAACTCAGGGCACTAACAACATTCCCTATAGCACTGGGCTTACAAAGGAAAATACAACAAAAGTCTCTGCTCTTAAGCTGCCAACAGCCACTAAATATTGGGCTTTCCCCAAACTACACGTGGAATGGGACACAGACATAACTGCAGCACAAAGCACTGATGCTTGCTAAAGGGAAACAATTACCTGAACATGTTGGCAAGATGTATTACACACTGAGGATCCCACCTGGTAAAATAAGCACTTGTCAGAAAACTGAGAGGAAGTAGAATTCTTTTTTACTCCTTTATCCACTTTTCCTGTCTCCCATATCAAGATTAGAAGCCAAATTTCCAACCAGAATCAACCACTGTCACCCTAATTATCCAGATTTAGAATGGTTCCAAACTGTCCTGGTCCCCACGATAACAAATGTCAAGAAAGGAATAAAACCTAGCACTTCCTGCAATTTGTTCATGAGACACTATTCCAAAATCTGGAAATAGGGCATTCCCTCACCCTCCCAGCTAGAAAAGACACTGTCATGGTGGCACAGCTTCAGTGATGTTAGAACAGGAAACAGGCAGTGCCACTGAACTCCTTCTCAAGGCATAACATGAAACACATAACATCATGTGCCACACAATTAAGAGGAGACAATAGCAATGTGGACACACCCAGTGACTGCAGATTTAACTCGCTTCATAACTGTAGGGTTTCAAAGGAAATTCTGTAAAAAGCCCAGATAGAAAAAGGCACCGAGTGATTTTTAAACAAACTGAAGCCCAGTGGAGCTGGCAGAGATGCACGTACTTGCTGGAGCAGAGGGTATTTATCAGCTGTTTCTTAAATTCTTCCCCATTCAGTTCACCTGAAAAAACATGAGGCTTTCAGGAACCCACTCCAGAGGGAGTGAGGACAGACTGGGGAGAAGGAGATGAGAAAGGTTACCTTTCCCATAAGCCAGGCTCTCCTTAGAGTTGGACAACGCGGTAAGAACAGTGGACAACAACTCCAGAGATTTCCCATTAGACAGGCTGCCTCCCTTAATAACTTCAACAAACGAGGTGGCAAGTTCAGCCAACGCGTGGCCTGGCAGCTGGCGAGCCTGGCAGGAGGTGGAATAACACTGAAGATGGGCACAGGAGAATTCCTTGCATGTGTCCAAACGCTCACCAAATACCAGAAAAGGACAACATTTCCCACAGTGCAACTTTCCTAAAAAATGAGTTAACCCCCAAGGCCTCTATCTCATGCTGTCCTTCATAGAATGGAGCAGTGAATCAAATAAATACAATTACGATTTTGGAAGTCAGATCTAAATATCCAGAGATCATATTACATGCAAGGCAAATTCCAAGACCAAAGCAGATGTGCAGATAGGACATCACTCATTTTCCTCAGAGGTCTGGTGAAGTGCCTCAGTTTGCTCACTAAAGGACCAGAGGAAAGCCAGCACAAATAAGCTCCTACCTCCAGCATCAGCAGCCCTATGATTTCGGACACTTTGCCCACATGCAGATCTCCTGATTCCACAAGTGGGACACAGTGCTTGTAAACCTGCAGCCTCCTGAGAACACCGCTTGGCTGGGAACACGGGGAGCCTTATCATGAGAAAATAAAGAACAGGAAAAGAGTTATACAAGCAACAACATGTCACTAAACAGGAAATTTGTAGGGCTGAACTGTCACCCAACCGCAGCTCCCTTTTTTATATATTTGACAGAACAGATAAAAAAGCAAAGTAGAGGAAATGAGAATCTCTAGGATAAAACAGCTGAAACACTCAGCACCGTTATCACACTCCTTGGTTCTCTCAACTTGCTGTCCAGTCAGGAAGCACCAATGTTTTGAGAAGAATTTGCTTGGTAACTCAGCTTCAGCTGGCCAGTTCTGTTCTACTGAAAGACACCTAAAGGCTCCCAGAAGAAAATCCCATATGGAGTCACAGAATGGCTCGGGTTGGAAGGGACATTAAAACCTACCCAGCTCCAACCCCCTGCCATGGGCTGGGGGCGGCTCAGACTGCCCAGGGCCCCATTCTACCTGGCCTTGAGCACCTCCAGGGATGGGATAGCTCTGTGGGCAGCTGTGCCAGTGCCTCACCGCCCTCTTAATGAAAAAAACCCCTAACATCTAACCTAGACCTCCCCTCTTTTAGTTTAAAGCCTCACCTCCCCTCTTCCCCATCAGGCCCTGTCCCCACCAGCCTCCAGACGCATCACCCACCTCTGAAGATCCCCCTGAGCAGCGCTGCCGTCTCCCTGCCCCTCAGGGCTTGCCTCGTCACCATTTCACCCAGCTGAAAGAGAAGGCCGCGCCGTGAGCCTGACTTGAGAGCAGGAGAAGCCGCTCCCCGCCCCCCCGACAGAGCCGGCGGAGCACCCTCTCCCCCAGGCACCTCGCCTTCCGCCAGGCCCTGAAGAGCCTCCTGGAGCCGCTCCGGGCTCTCCTCGGCCGCCAGCTGCAGGATGCGCTGCGCCATGGCGCAGCTGCTGTCATCCGCCGCAGCGCCGAAATTCCCGCCCGGAAGCGCCTATCACCGCCATAGCAACAAGTCCCGCCCCCCCGCCCCCCGTACGTCACTTCCGTTCTCCGCGAGAGCTCCGCTAGGCCCCCCCTCCCCACCTCATCAACGGGTTCGAATCCCGCGTGCGGCGCGGGGATGCGAGCTGGTGGGGGCGATCCCCGGGCACAAAGCGCCTATTGAGGTCCCTCTCGCGGAGCCGTCCCGGCCACTGCGAAGGGTTTCACGTGGGCACGATGTGCTGGCGCCAGGCCGGGCACGGGGCACGAGGGGCCCTGTGCAGCGTTAGCAATCCCTAAATCCGCGTGTTACAAAACATGCCTTGTGTAAGCCCCTTCCTCCGCTCCCCCAAATCCCCAGAGCAGCGGGAGAGCGGCCAAGGCCCGGCCTCAATGGGCTCCTGTTCTCACTTCCCATCGCAGCTTTACCCACAGGTCTGGGGGAGCATGCAGTGTGGCACCAACCCCACAAAGCCACCCCAAAGGCCCCATTTGGACGCCATCTCCATGACTCTCCCGCATCTTGTGCCCACATCCCAAAGGCTGACTGCTCTCCAGCACGAGGATCACTGGAAGCTCCACCTGTGGTCTGCGTCCCACCACCATCCCTGCACCCTCACCCGGCTCCTGGGGCCGGTGCAGGGGGTGGCACGCTGCCCACCCAAAGCCCCACACTAATGAGCACAGTTACACAATGGGAAGCTTTTATACACCCTTAATCGGGCCCAGCATCCCGCCCCTCCGTGCGCCCTCTCGGCCTCCAGCTCCCTCCTTCCCTCTCCCCATCAGCCTTTTGGAAGGCTTTAGTGGGGTTTCCTGCCTGGTTTACGCGGACTTAATGATAAAGCTGCGGTGAGTTGATGCCTTGTGACGGCCTAATCCCAACCCGGTGACTCTACAAAGCTTTCGCTGGGATTTCGTGCTGCTCCACTCTGCTCCTGCTGCCCAGCCCTGCTCCAGCAGCCCCCAGGCCCTCAACCTCCACGGTCGGTTTGGCATTCCCTCATCCTGGTGAGTATGGGGACAATGCACACCTCAAACATTGGCACTGGATGCCATAACCTGGACTACCCCGACCTCCAGAGATGGCTTTGATTTTGGGGTCTCAAATAATGGGGTGCTTGTGGGGAAAACCCTGGGAGGCATTGGGACACATGGCAGAGACATCTCTGACATGGGCTGAGCAGCAGGAAGGGTGCTGGGCCGGTGACGAGGAGGGCAGCCTTCATCCTCATTTGTCTGCATTAAGAGGAAGATGAAAGGATTGCCTGAAGGTTTTCTGCACTGCCCTCAAGCAAAGGTGCAGACAGCAAGCCTTGGAGTGGTGAGGGAAGAGTCCAAGGACCAAGGGAAGCATTTGAGACCCCATTTGCTCAGTAGGACTATGGCAGTGCCAGGGTTCCCTGTGCTGGCACGAGGTCCATTGGCAACCATGGGACAGCCCAACAAGCCAGGTCTTTGCTATCTTGTCTGTGCTGCTCTGGATGCAGACAGAGGTGAGTTCATGAGGAAACCCCGGGATGCCTCTGCCCACAGCTTCCCATCAAGACAAAAAATGCTGAAGACATCAGATGATCAATGCTTACTTATTTATGCTTCGAAGAGTCCTGGTGTTTCTCAAGCACTTTCACTGTCCATCAGGCTTCTAGCACATCCTCTATGGGGACTGGGCAAGAGGGATGGGGCACCAAGATTGCAAAGTCTTCAGATACCCGCAGGTAATCCCTCCTTCTCTCTTCCAGCATACTGCAGCTGATCAAGTCTAAAAGAAGACATGTCTGCTGTTGTGAGTACTGCCCCATCCCTATCCCACTGCACCACTCGGGTGCAACGCTGTCCTTCCCTAGAGTAACCTGCAAGGCACTGGGGCTGTCCCCAGCCTTGTGGGGGAGGGGGGCAGGGAGATTGGGAGCTGTCAGCAGAGGATGCCTGATGCCCCTCATCCTTTTGCCCCAGACGGGGACCTTCCGCATTGTCTCAGAAGAGGAGCAGGCACTGCGCACCAAACTGGAGCGCCTCACCACCAAGGACCACGGCCCTGTTTTTGGGAGGTGCCAGCAGATCCCCCCTCACACCCTGCAGAAGGTGAGACGTGGCCCTACTGTGAGTGGGGCACAATGGGGGAGATATGCTCTGACCACGCTGCTTTTTGGTGCCAAAATGCACCCTGGGCTGCTGGGTCCGGTGGCCCTGTGGGGTGCCCAGGTCCCAGGGCATTGTGTGGGTGCTGAGGACCCCATCCTGACTCTCCCCCAGGCAAAAGATGAGCTGAATGAGACGGAGGAGCAGAGAGAGGCAGCAGTCAGAGCGCTGCGGGAGCTGGTGCAGGAGCGGGCCGGCAGTGAGGATGTCTGCAAGGCAGTGGCTGAGAAGATGCAGGGGAAGGATGATTCCTTCTTCCTCCGCTTCATCCGTGCCCGCAAGTTTGATGTGCACAGGGCCTACGACCTGCTGAAAGGTGGGGGTCCTTTGGCATCCCCTTGCCTCTTTCCAGTACCTCCCAGCACCCTCAGTCCTTGGGCTGGGCTGGCAGGGACAGGGAGCAAGGAGGACATTGGCTGGGACCCACTCTACTCCTGTTTGCTTCTGCCAGGCAGATAATGAGTTGCAATTATCAGTGCTGGCTCCCAGATGAGCTGTTTTGTTCACCCAGATTTTCCCAGGACGTTTCCATATTTCGTGCCCACGCGGTGCCAAGTGGGGGGGAGCAGGGGCAGGGAGCTCCCCCAGCACTCCCCTGGCTTCCTGATGGGCAAGCAGCTGCTGTCCTACCCGGCTCCTATCTCTCCCCAGGCTATGTGAACTTCCGCCAGCAATACCCCGAACTCTTTGACAACCTGACCCCTGAGGCCGTGCGCAGCACCATTGAGGCGGGCTACCCCGGCATCCTGGCCAGCAGGGACAAATATGGGCGGGTAGTGATGCTCTTCAACATCGAGAACTGGGACTATGAGGAGATCACCTTCGATGAGGTCAGCCCAGCCATTGCTCCCTGAACAGTTCTGCTCCTGGGGCTTCCTGCTGAGCAGAGCATCCCTTTCACACATTTGTATGGGCACACATAACTTCCATCCATCCGGGTTTATGCAGAACTTTGAATTTATCCTTCCAGGGGAATCTGGTCCATCTCAAAGATTTCCCCTTCTTTCTTTCTGATGCGCAGGATGCAGGGCACAGTTGGGGCGTGTATCTCCAGATGACACAGAGCGAAGGGAGGCATCACACCATTAGATCAGGGTGCTTTAAAAAGGAGAGACCTGCAGGGCAGAGAAGGAAGCTGGCACATGGCATGAAAAAGGCTTCTTGGCAAAGAGACCTTCAAGCATGAGATCACAAGTTCTTCCAGCTCTGTTTTCTGCTCAGCCCTGAATTTGCTGGCACTATATCAGAGCACTGACCCAGATGCGTGATACCTTGAGAGGGTTGTTGAGCATCCTCTGCAGTGCCCCCCTGCTCTGAAGCTCTGGGGCTGGCTGGGACAACCAGCTGAAGTTGAGCAGACCCAGACCAATGTTCCACAGGATCGCTGCAGGGAACCTCCTGAACTTTAAGGGAGGTGAGACCTTGCAGTCACACTAATAGCAGACCCTGCTGTCTCTCCTCTCAACCAGATCCTTCGTGCCTACTGCGTTATCTTGGAGAAACTGCTGGAAAATGAAGAGACCCAGATCAATGGGTTCTGCATCATTGAGAACTTCAAAGGCTTCACCATGCAGCAGGCATCAGGGATCAAACCTTCTGAGCTCAAGAAGATGGTGGACATGCTACAGGTGAGGTGCAGAAGACTGTGCCTGGGGCTAGCAAGGGTTTTGGATTGCCACTGCACTGTCACCACTGCCCTGTCACCATGAGAAAACACCACGGAGAGGCCATTTTCCATGTGATCTTGTGAAAAGGGAGCAATGAGTCATCTGGGAGGCTCTGCAGCTTCCCTGGTGCTCTGAGGACTGGGACAGCTGCTCCTCTGGGATCCTGCTGTTCATCAGAATAAGAAAGGGATGATGGAAGGGAAAATGGGAGGCTGGGGAAGGGGAGCGGAGGCAGTGCCAGTTGCAGTTCTTTTGCAGTTGTGCTCCTCTCCTGTTTTCTTGTGGCCAGCACAGTCTGTAACCAGCCATGTCTGGGTTTGGCATCCTAGGACTCCTTCCCAGCACGGTTCAAGGCTGTCCACTTCATCCACCAGCCCTGGTACTTCACCACTACCTACAACGTGGTCAAACCGTTCCTGAAGAGCAAACTGCTGGAGAGGGTGAGCGTGGGGAAGGGGCCTAGCGGCAGAAGCCGGGTAAAGCAGTGTGGCTGGGGGGAGATGTCACAGCTTTTGGAGACATGGGGACAAGCCTGGGCTGAGAGCAGCTGGTGGATGAGCTGGGCACGTCCCATGGGAAGGGGAGCCTGCTGCTAGGCAATGAGAAAGGCAGGCAGCTCATCAGATCAGCTCTAGGGTCCCTGGGCCATTTCTTTGTTGTGGGCAGAGCCACCCATCTCTGCTGAGGGTTCCTTTTGTGCCAGGTGTTTGTGCACGGCGAGGAGCTGGAGTCCTTCTACCAGGAGATCGATGCTGACATACTGCCAGCAGACTTCGGTGGCAACCTGCCCAAGTACGACGGCAAAGCAACTGCAGAGCAGCTCTTTGGGCCCCGCATCGAAGCTGAAGACACGGCGCTTTAAGTCAGGAGCTGCTCCCCTTCCCCTGTAAAATAAGATCAGAGGTGGTCCCCTAACCCCAACCGCTTCCATACTGTAGCAATGGATGAGTGACTGCTCTGGGTGTGTTGCTCCGTGTCTGTTCCTGTCCCCAAAGCTGGCAGCAGGCTGCCTGGCAGCGGCTGGGATGCAGCGAGCACGTGCCTTGCTCTGCTCCAGCCTTAGCCTTTACTTCTGTGGGGCAATACAGCCAGAGAACACTGTCTCCACAGCCAGCTCTATGCGCCCACAGTTGGTCACTGGGGAGCAACACAACCAGAGGATGCCACTGCAGAAGCCCCTGCCAGGGGCTGGCTGAAATATGTATGCAGAGAAATAAAGAAGAATTTAACAACAGTGTGTCTCAGACCTGGGTCAGTGGTTCTGTTACAGTGCTACCAAGACCAAGCAGTGGCACAGGCAGAGCTGAGCGCCCAATTCTTGCTATGCAGGGCAGCCAGGGAGGAAGAACAGCAGCCACTGAGGGCAGGAGGTGAAATCTAACCACAGAACAGTGGAAGACACGCAGAATGTAGCCTCCTAAATCCTCTAAAAGCCTTAACTAAGCTGCCTCTCCAAGCACTGCACCTGGCAGCGAGCTCAGATCTTAGCAGTTCAGGTCAGAAAAGCTCCATGAAAAGTAACCAAGGAGGGGCACAAGGCATCAGTGAGGAGTGGCAGCACCTGTAGCTTTGAGTCAGCAGGAGGCAGATAATGGCATAAAGAGGAGGTGGAAGTATCTCCCTGCCAGGGAAAGCAAAGTGTTCTGGGTTATAAACCAGAAGCTCTGAGGTGGTGAAGTAAAAAGCGGCTCGTGAAGGAGCTGATCAGATGATGGACTTCTCACTTGGCCATCAGCCACGAGAGCAGCAGGGCTTGGAGAAAAGCAAGGGGCTGCTGCCTGCCCAGGACTTGGTGGTTGCCTTCCCTGTCAGCACAGTATGCCCCTTCTTTCCTCCCCCAGCTCTGCAGTTGCACACGAACGCCTTTCATTAGCAGAGCAAGGACCAGAGTCCATCCGCAGCCAGCGGAGTTGCAGGGTGCTGACAAGAGCTGCATTCATCAGGGCACTGGCTCAGGCTCAACCCAAACAGGATGTCTGCTCTGAAGCTGCTGGGAGGATGGGGCCTGTCTGGGCAGCCAACTGGGGTTAAATCCATTTTCACCAGCCCCACTTGATTCACTGAGCATTACGGGACACACAGCAGTTCCCAGCCCAGGGGCTGCGCCAGGTTTGTGCTGCAAGGTCTCAGAAAAGGATTGAAAGGCACCTCTGGCTGTGCTGAGCTCTCCACAGGCCAGCAGTCCCAGGGAAACAAAGTGTGACAACCATCCAGCCAGCGCAAACACAAGAGCTTGCTTGAGAGGCAAAGCAATCGCACCTCCTTTGCAAGACAAGCAACCAAGAAGTGCCATAGCAGCACTGCTCTTCATGCTGCAGTCCTTGTTCTGCTTCCTAGGACACAGAAGCAGAGGAAGGCTCCAGGTGGATCCAGCAGGGGTAGTGAGGGCTGGCACACCTGCCCTGTGCTGTAACACAGCGCTCCTGGGCACTACTCCCACCTTCCCACTGCACACTTTGGCTTCCCCCGAGGGCAGCGATTCCCCCCTGGAGGCAGGGAGAAGAGCAAGATGATCATCTTGGCTCAATATATTCCCATGCCAGACAATCTTTTGCAGAGGAAATCTTTTCCCAGAGGAAGAAATGGCTGCTTTATCTGTTGAGACTTTCCCACCACCAAAAACACTGTACACAGCCACTCCACGTAGCACTGGCTTCAATAAGTCCTTTATTTTTAAATAAAGAAATCCCACTGAATCAAAGATAACAAAATTACATTTTGTTTTGCAACGACTTCCATTTTACATCACACAGAAGAACAAGAATTAACGAAAAAAAATCAAAGACTGTTTTATATATATTTATATATATAATTTTAAAGGTAAACATCAGCAGATATAGAAAAATTGCATTGCTAGTTGCAAATCATCTCCCCTGCAGCTGTCAGCTTCAGAGAATCTGACTCAGAACATGGCAGCAGGAGGGTATCTCGGTATACAAGCTTTTTCAGGGCAGCATTTAGAGATTGTTCCAAAGTATGATTTTGCCAAATTGAGAACATTTTCACAGTAAACTGCACTGCTCACCGAGAACATCAGAAGTCACTCAGTCTGTTCTAACATGGCTGCATGGGCAACACGAGAAGAGCTCAGGCCTGCCGTTCTGAGGGCTCCATGCACCCTCCTGTTTGGCATTTCAGAGAAAGGGCTCCTCTTGCAATGAATTTTTTCAAGAATTTCTAGCAATCTGTCATTGGGAAATAGGATGAGCTGTCAGAAAACACGCTCCTTTGGAAAGCTGCTGACTTGGGCTGAGCAGTCAGGTTTGGTTTTATCAAATACAAGTTGTATTGTTGCATTTTTTTGTTTCAAAAGACTTGCCATCAGAAGGTCAGCATCTCAGCGGAGGTGTAATGGAGATCCTAGATAGAAATTCTGCATCTAATCAAAGCTCTTGCATGTCTGGTGACAGACGATGCAAGCTCGTCATTCAGACAGCAGCAGAAAGGCTTTGTGTAGAGCCACCTAGTGGGACTGCTCCTCAACGGCATTAAAGTCACCTGGGTTAAGCAAAGCCATAGGGTGAGGAGACTCATGGTCTTTACCCACAGGGCACACAGGGCCAGAGCTTTTAGAGAGTGTTATCAGACAGGCATGGAAAAGGTTGTTAGACACCAACAGATGCAACCTGATAAATGCTGCCCTGGATTACAGTGTTTTTGTCCGTTGATTAACCAGCAAAGTCAAGTGTTCAAAACAAGGTGTTCAAAATGGAATCGTTCAGGATAACCCCAGAAACCCTTTTGCTGCAGTGTGGAAAGCTGGCAACTGCTTGGACTCATCGACAGCAGTTGTGTCTGAGCTTCCCCAAGAGCAGAGAGAAGTCCAGGCCACTGTAAGAGACGCTCCCAGTAACGAAAGGGGCACAGATGCAAGGCAGCCCTTCCTTGGGTCTGTGTTGCTCTGAACCATTCTAAGCTTGGATAAAGCTCAGGAAGCCCTCACACCAAGACAAGCTGTTTGCTTTTTGCCTGGGATTAGAAGTCCCAAAGGAAACACTGCTTGAGTCACTGTGGCTCTGGGACCTGCCCAACCAGCAGGCCTGCCAGAATAAGGACATGGAGCAGGGCTTGACAAGACACCCTTCACAACACATGCCTTACACATGCAGCACAAGACTGGGGCCTTTTCTGATCTCCTTGGAAAGGGCTGTGAAGAATTTCAATGAGCTCCAGACAGATATTATATCACTTAAGAAAAAACGACTTGGAAGCAATCCAGGTGACTGAACTGTTTGGCAATTAATTCCTGAAGTTACTGCTCTGCTCTTTCGAGCTGTAGCCATCTTCAGCTATGCTGCTGAAGAGTTGATAGACACTAGAATTTTGGAGCTGTATGGTAGAAAGTCACTTATTAAGCTAACCCTCCTTCTATGACTTAATCTCTATGGCCAGAGGCAAATTTGAGGAGCAGAGCTGAAAGATGATCCACTGCTTATATACATTGCTATTTTAAGCACTAGAATAGACTGCAGCGAGCTGTAGGCTGCCCACAAAAGTCCTTTAGGTCAGCACACACTGGTACAGTGTGCATCACCAGAGGTGTCTCACTGCCTCTGTCTGAGAAATCCTTACTAGAAAGCAAAGCCCCAGAGCTCTGACAGCTGTTGCTGAAGTCTCCAGATACGCTGATGTCAAGGGAAAAGAAAAAGGGCAAGGCACCATGTGTCCAAGGGCTGCAGTCTAGGAACTTGTGACAGATCCAGGACAAATGACACACAAGCAGCTTGGCTAAATTCAGTACTGGAGATAACAGTTGTTAATGCCCTTGCTTAATGCCCTGTCTTTGTAACCTGTATCTTCATGAACAAAGGCCTGCAGAAGAACGACCAGGAAATGGCTGCAGGGAGGTTCAAGCGTGTCTTTACAGTACAGCCACAGCACTGCTGACCTACCTGAAAACATCTTCCATTTAGGTTCCAACAAAAGGATCATTAGATATGCTGGCAGATCTCGTGTAACAGAAGCTGCAAGTTCCTTGTATTCAGTATGAGCAGGTCCCAGCTGCTCACCAAGAAGCTTCAGATCTCTCCACACACTAAGATGGTGGTTGGACCAGCCTAACCACCAACAAAACAACAGCTCTGCAACTTGCTATCTGATTGAGAGAGTCCTTATTCAAGTGCTTCTTACAAAGATGGGAAGAGAGAAAACTGCTGATGTGTTTTGTACTCTCACTTTGGAACTAAACAGAGCTCAGGACAGATTCACCATGCTGGAGGCTTCAACTGCACTGCAATGATCCAGAAGTACATGCTTTGACAATCTCATTTGTTTTGACATGAGATGAAAAAGAATTTAATCTCAAAGATGAAAAATTCATATTGCATTTAGGGTTCACTGGGCAAGTGAAGACCATTTGCTGACATCACAAAAACATTATTGCCTTGTTTCAGGAGAGAAAAGCAATTCAGGTTAGGATTGGACAAAATCCCATCCTATCTGTTCTACTGGCACCAGATAACACTGCCAGTAGGAAAGCTTAGCACTGGATTTCTTTTTTTGAACGTCTTTAGATAACATGCACTGCAGTTTACCTTTCTCTTCTTCTACTGCTTCCTTGAGATCTCCAAATTACTGCTGAAAGTTTGACAAAATGAATATTGCTTTGAAAAGGCAGCATCAAATTGGATGGGATGGGAAGAACAGATTTTTACTGTTTCCACCTACATCAAGTTAGTGAGTTTCAGGAACCTCTGCAACTACGCCCAAGTTCTTCCTTCTCAAACAAGCTACATTAGTTGTCCAACCACAAGTGGTGTGAGCAGCTGTGGATGCAGGTGGAAAGTGCAAAAAACATCAACTGAGCAGGACAGACCTATATCACTTCTCTAGTTGAAAGTTCCAAAAATTTCACAGCACTTC